ATCTGAAATGGATGTTACATGAATCACTTTAAGGGCTGCATACAACTATGAACATTTCTGAAGCTTTCCCTCAGTAAACGATCAAGATGGATGAATCTGCCTTGTTGGATCTTCTGGAGTGTCCTGTGTGTCTAGAGCGGCTGGATGCTTCTGCCAAGGTTTTGCCTTGCCAGCACACGTTTTGCAAACGGTGTTTGCTGGGGATCGTAGGTTCCCGAAATGAACTCAGATGTCCCGAGTGCAGGACTCTGGTTGGCTCCGGCGTCGAGGAGCTTCCAAGTAACATCCTGCTGGTCAGACTTCTGGATGGTATCAAGCAGAGGCCTTGGAAGCCTGGCCCTGGTGGGGGCAGTGGGACGAACTGCACCAGTGCATTGAGAGTCCAGAGCAGCTCGGTGGCTAACTGCAGCTCGAAAGATCTGCCGAGCTCCCAGGGTGGACAGCAGCAGCGTGTGCAAGCCTGGAGCCCCCCAGTGAGGGTGAGTAGCCTGCAGAAGCAGTTTGCTTAATGATGGTGTGGTAATGACCACATTTTTTTTTCTTTATTCTTCAACCTGCTGTTTTCTAAATCAGCCTATTGCTACAAAAAGCCACACGTACTGTAACAGATAGGAAATTATTTTGCTTCCCTTTTGGAATGAAACTGGATATACATAATCAATTTTCTTGTTTTTGAATTTCCTCCAGATAATCTCTATTATCTTTTCAGAAACAAGTAGCAATTCACTGAAACCTAAAACACAACAGCTTTTTGTGACCTCTTTAAAATGGAAATTTGTTATGGTTTTTACTTTGTTGATGGATTTGGGAGAGCCATAATTATGTATGTATGTGTACATTTATGTATACATGTTATAAACATGTGTGAGAGTAAATCATAAGCAGGAAGTCAGACCTTAATTTTTATGTTGCTTAGAGCACAGAATTTTCTGGTTGGGGGAATTCTTAACAAATCATGGCCACAGGTAGCAGAGTTTGGTTGCTGTAGCAACGAAATGTCTTTTAGGACTATGCTAAAACAGCAAGAGAATCTAGCTTTATGTTGGGTTTTACAGAAAGTGAAATTAAATATTCCATTGAAATGGTTTTTCTTGGGTTTTGGGTTTGGGCTGAAATAATTTTAAGTGAAGTTAAATATTTGGACAGTTATCATAACTTAAATTTCTAGAAGGTAAGGTATTTTGAATAAATCTGAATTTATGATGTGGGTGATGACATACGATATGCTTTGCTCATCTTTAAAATAATAAAAAGTAATTATGGGCTGCATACAACTATGAATATTTGTATAGTTAAAACAATTCCATTTGTGTTGGAAGAAACAATTTTGATAATTGGCCAAACTGATAAAAAAAATAAATTTTTTAAAATATAGTTTATTGATTTTTTTGCAGAGAGGAAGGGACAGGGATAGAGAGTTAGAAACATGGATGAGACAGAAACATCGATCAGCTGCCTCCTGCACACCCCCTACTGGGGATGTGCCTGCAACCAAGGTACATGCCCTTGACCGGAATTGAACCTGGGACCCTTCAGTCCACAGGCCGACACTCTATCCACTGAGCCAAACCGGTTAGGGCTAAAAAATATTTTTAAAGAACAGTTAATTTGGATGAGAATATATATTTTTCAAATATTTGTAATACACACACAAAACTGGCTTCTTTTATTTAATGTTGGAACAACCCATTGGGACAGCATTCAATGGTATAAATTCATAAATGTGACTCTCAGACAACTGTAAACGAGTACAGCCTTGTAACCATTCCCTTACTTCCCTCTCAGCTCATCTTTTAAAATGCTATATTTATATCACTAGATGTAACATATGTAAAGCATTTTAATCACTAGAAAACAGTTTCATCACTAGAATAGTAAAATTTCTTTTGCTTCTTATATTTAAGATTTTTAAGATAGCAATGACTTTGGCTTATGGAGGTTTTCTTAACCTATTTGAAGCTCACATGTAAAATTGATCTGCTTATAGCACTTTTCTTAGACTTCTTTTATTTTATGGAGTTTACTGATACCTTGATTAGTGGATATGGACTCATCAATATTTTAACTACAGAATCAGTGATCAAGTTGATCATTTCTGAGACACCTGACCCAGGTCTGCTTAGTTTAATTAGGGAGTAGATTTACTTCTTTGGAGAGATTTGGTTTCCTTGTTAATTAGACTAGAGAAGGCATAGCTTCTGGCTATGAATAGAGGATTCTTAGTGGTTGACACCTTGCCTTACCTGTTGTGAGGAATGCATTGAAGGTTTGATTACTGATAAAAAAGGAATTTAACAAGAGGGCTCAAGCATTCAGCTTGACATTTTCTTTCTAACAGCAATTGACTATGTAATGCTGTAATGTCCATTTGTTTGAACTGCTAAGCTCCCAAAATTGAGTTTCACTTTTCTTAGTGAAATTTTTGTGAGATTTGTTGATGTTAGTATTGTTTTTGTGAGATTTTATGGATGTTAGTATTATTTTTCTGGCTTATACGATTTTCCTAATTTATTTCATGTTCCTTCTTTAGCATGAGAAAAATTACTCACCAAGGAGGGCAACTCAACTTGAGGCTTATAACTTGAATTGTTGAAGTCCATAAAACAGGAGATAATATCTGTTACTTTGTGGGTGGCAGGGAGAGTGTTGGATGAAACAACCAGGATTTTTCAGTTATCTGAGTGGATGCAAATGCTGCAATACTTAAAAAAAATAGTTGTTTTTTTTCAAGTCTCAAAAATTTCTTATCAGTACTTTTTATTTTCAAGTATTCAAAACAACCAGGGCTACATAAATAGCCCAAGCATCTCAAAGGTAAAATATCTCAGAAAATACTCCTTTAAAAAGTAAGAAATCTATTAGATACAGACATGTGGAGGTTGTAGTGCACTCCTTCGGACACTTCCCTTAGGTGAGTGACCATAATAAATACCAAACGTGTATCCTCCTCCCTTAGATGTTCTGACATGACCAAGCGGCGCGTGAGCCTTTTTCCACATGTTGCGCAAAGCTGAAAGTGATAACATGTGGAATGTTGCTTCAGTTTATTAGTTATGTTCTATGATCCGTTAGATTGTGACCATGTGGCTTCCTCATGTGTTTAGCCGAGGTAGATTGAGTGTTATCAGCAGATACGAACATTTCCAATGTGTGACACACATCTTGTTCCCAGAATTTTAGTGTTTCCTGTCTAATATGAAGGAGAAAATGAAACAGTGTTGGGTTGGAGTCACCAAGGGAATCCATCGATTCTTTACCCCAAGTAAAGAATTGCTGTTGGTTTTGAGCCAAAGTCAAGCAGTGGAGTGAGCCACAGGGAGGGGGGGTGGTTGCAGATAATCTGTTTAATGGACTAAAAAATACCTGCAGAAGATAGATTTTTATATATATGCAAAGTGAGATATGGAAAACATATTTAAGTAATTTCTATAGAAGTACTACCTAATAGCATAGTTACATTTCTGCTTTCTATGTGTGATCCCATTGTTCAGGATCTATATCCGTGCTTGTGTGTGTGTCTATCTATCGAGGTATTATTACATAATGATTTCACACTGCCTCAAAGTGAGTTTCTTCAGCAGAAATAGATCACACAACCATTGATTTACACTAATTTACATATCACTTATTCTTTTTAAAAATCTACAACATATTGAGCACTTATTAGGTTCCAGGCACTGCCCTGGCTGCTGGATAGATAATGATGGACAAACCAGATACAGATTCTGCTTAGCAATTAATGAGTATGTGTCAGTCTCGTTGGAGAGACACACTAACAATAACAATGCAGGTAGGTAATTAAGCACAGTAAGTGTCATAGAGAGCCATGGGAGAGGAAAGAAGGGCCTGTGTTAAGTGTGAGGATAAATGGTAAATTGTGTGTGTGTGTGTGTGTGTGTGTGTGTGTGTGTATGAAAGAGAGAGATTCAAAAACTTCCTTGAAGAAAAGGTATTTGAGCTGAGGTCTGAAGGGTGAAATGATATTATTGGAGACTAGAGGCCCAGCGTGCGATTGAAATCGCCCCACCTCCCGCCTTGCGAGGAGGCACCCTGTGAGGGGCGGGGACCAGCGCCTGACTCGCGCAGGGCTGGCTGCCACAGGAGTCAGGCCAGATGGTGCCGTGGGGGGCCGGGCCCATGCTTGACTCGCAGTGTCCCCTGGCCCCCCTGCCTGGGTCTGCTCTGGGGCTGTGGGGGGTTGGGACCATGCCTGACTCAGAGCGTCCCCTGCCTATCCCCCCCCCGCGTGTCCGCTCCGGGGCTGCCCGAGCCACCTGCCTCTGTCTCGACTCCGCTCCAGGCCTCATCTGCGCGTGCAACCTGCTGTCTGGTCGTGACCCCTTACGGAGTCCCGGCCTAATTTGCATATTACCTCTTTATAATATAGATGGGGCTGGGCAGCCACAGGGGCAGAGGGGATGAGTATTCCAAAGGCCCTGACCAACAGCAGCACAGGGCATGGCTCCTAGAAAGAACCAACGGAAGGTGAGTGTGAAATAAGCAAGGGATAGGGATCGTGACCTAGACGAGGCCTCAAGTACAGCAATGTGCAAGGCATCAAGGGCCACCACAAGGCCACCTGGGGTTTAGGGCCAGGTACGTGGTGTAGCTAGACAGTGCTCTGCATCGGAATTAGAAAGACACATCATTGGGACTGAAAATCACTGAGACTGAAGTGATCACAAACCTTCAGAACAGAAATGGAGCCTGGGGTCAAAGCCCTGAGAGACAGAGGAAAGGCAGGGCATTCTGGACATGGGGGGACACAGATGAGATCTCCTCTCTCCCGCAAATGCCCAGTGTGCTTCAGTTTCTCCAGAGTCATACCCACGCCGCCCTTCTCTCCCTCTCCTTATTGCTGACTATTATGGGCTGGATCGTTTCCCCCAACATTCATAAATTGAAGTCCCATCTCCCAGGACCTCAGAATATGGCTGTGTTTGGGGAATAGCACCTTTAAAGAAGTGGTGAAGGTAAAATGAGTGTGTATGGGTGTGGCCTAAACCCACAATATGACTGTTAATCCTTCTTAGAGGAGATTAGGAGACAGACGCAGAGGTAAGACCATGTGAAGACACATGGAGAAGATGGTCATCTACAAGCCAAGGAGAGAGGCCTTCAGAAGAACCCAACCCTGTCCACACCTTCATCTTAGACTTCTGGCCTCCAGAACTGAGGAAATAATTGTCTGTTGCTGAAGCCAGCCAATCTGTCATACTTGACAAGGGGTAGCTCTAGCAGAGTAATACACTAACTGGGGACGTATTCCTAAAGGTCAGCCCATCGAGTGGCCTCTCGGTCAGTCCACTGCCAGTCCCATTCAGTCCCAGTTTTCCCATAGACCTGCTGTGGCCCAGCTCGTCTGTGCTCTTTACTCCAGAGGTGCAATAACCTTGAGAAATTCTTCAGTCCCTACCCACCCTCTTAGATGCCCAAATGGCCTGGCATCCTATATAGTAAAAGCCTAATATGCTAAGTGTCCGGTCGCCCAGTTGGCCGTTCAACCAATCAAAGTGTAATATGCAAATGATATGCTAAGGCCACTCAACTGCTTGCTATGATGTGCACTGACCACCAGGGGGCAGATGCTCTGACTGGTAGGTTAGCTTCCTGCTGGGGTCTGGCCGATTGGGGCTGAGCAAGATGGGCTGGACACGCACTGGAGCCCTCCCGTGGCTGTCCCTGGCTGGACAACCTCCCTTGTCCCTCCCAGGCCCCAGTCGTGCACTGGTGGGGTCCCTCGGCCTGGCCTGTGCCTTCTCGCAATCCAGGACCCCTCGGGGGATGTCGGAGAGCTGGTTTTGGCCCAACGGCAGAACAACCAGTCACTATGATGTGCACTGACCATCGAGGGCAGATGCTCAATGCAGGAGCTGCCCCATGGTGGTCAGTATGCTCCCACAGGGGGCGCGCCACTCAGCCAGAAGCTGGGCTCATGGCTGGTGAGCGCAGTGGTGGTGGTAGGAGCCTCTCCTGCTTCCACAGCAGCACTAAAGATGTCCAACTGACAGCTTAGGCCCGCTTGAAGTTGGGCTCACGGCTGATGAGCGCAGTGGTGGTGGTGGGAGCCTCTCCTGCTTCCACAGCAGCACTAAGGATGTCCAACTGACAGCTTAGGCCCGCTCCCCATGGAGAGGCCTAAGCCGCGACAGTCGGACATCCCCTGAGGGCTCTCAGACTGTGAGAGGGCGCAGGCCAGGTTAAGGGACCCACCCCCTGAGTGCATGAATTTCGTGCACCAGGCCTCTAGTAGTTTTATAAAATGGACAGGAGGTTTATGTGGCAAGATACCAGATTCCAAATGTTTTGGAGAAGAGAGAGGGAAGGGCTGGGAGAAGAGAGGTCCTAACACTGTTATCTCTCTCTAGTTCTTCTGTAAGTGGAATCTAGAGAGCGTGCTTTATTGGACGTAGTGGTGTCTACATGAGGCACCACCCAGAGGAAGGGCAGCAGGAAGAGGATGGAAGAAGAGAGGAGGAGAAAGGCAGGATGGCAGTGAGACTCCAGGGAGGGTGTGGAAAGCTAGTGCTAGCTCTGAGTTGCCCCAGGGGGCACCTTTGACCTCCAGTCAGTGCACAGGGACTTGTGGAGTGTTTCTTTCAGGCTCCATTCTGTGCTGTAATCTATCCTAGGACAGAGGTGGCATTAATGCATGTTTCTGTTGAAAACATTTACTTTTGGGGGGATTTAAGCATCCAAGAAACAGCAAATAAGGCAGCATATAGTGAAACTCCAAACTATGGGGTAAGATATGGAATATGTCTGCCCAGCCGGAGTGTCTGGCCATCCTGCGCACTGAAGGTTGCTGGTTTGATTCCCATCGGGGCACATACCTGGCTTGTGGATTTGATCCTCAGTTGGGGCACTTAGGGAAGACAGCTGATCGATGTTTCTCTCGCTCTCCCCCCGCCCCCCCATCTCCCTTCCTCTCTCTAAGCATGTCCTTGGGTGAGGTTAGAAAAAAAGAAAAGGCATGGAATAAGTCTCTATAGTGAGATCCGTGCGAGTCGCCCCTGGATTTAGTGTCTGGTCAAAGGGTAGATGGAGTAACTGGGTTAGAGTGGACAGGGACACAGAAGGACAGACTCCCCTGGTGTGGAAGGTTCAGTCCAGACTCTGGTAAAGGAATGGATGTGTCTGCACAGGCGGGGATGGGTCCCTGTATTCATCCACACTGGACCCAAGCACGACTTCCCATGTGGTTTCGATGAGGGAGACTCAGCCATTTGCTGATAATGAGAGAGGATCCTAGATAGGCTGCCTCCTGCACACCCCTTCCTGGGGATGGAGCCCGCAACCCGGGCATGTGCCCTGACCGGGAATCGAGCCGTGACCTCCTGGTTTTTAGGTCAATGCTCAACCACTGAGCCATGCTGGCAGGGCAGTCCCCACCTCTGATTCCCTTTCTGCTGCCAGTGGTCTCTTCCTCACCCTGGCTCCTCTTTGCCGCCCTCCATTCCTGAACTCTCCTCCTCCACCAGGAAGGATGCTGCTTTCCCCACTGCAGTCAGACACTCACTCTGCGCCAGTAATCCAGCCCCTCTGCCATCCATTGCTTTCACATGGTTTAAGCCAGTGGTCGGCCAACTGCGGCTCGCGAGCCACATGCAGCTCTTTGGCCCCTTGAGTGTGGCTCTTCCACAAAATACCAACTTCTGCGCATGGGCCAC